CAGAGACACGCACAGACCCAGAGACACACACAGACCCAGAGACACACACAGACCCAGAGACACACACAGACCCAGAGACACACACAGACTCAGAGACACACACAGACCCAGAGACACACACAGACCCAGAGACACACACAGACCCAGAGACACACACAGACCCAGAGACACACACAGACCCAGAGACACACACAGTCCATGGGCTACAGCAGAAATTGGCACCGCCTAAAGGTGGAGCACGTTTATTTAAATGTCCAAATAACGGTTAATGAAATTTCGATTTAAACATAGCCATTTCTGTGACCAGTCACAAGCTAATCACTCAGCTATTTCAATGCTAAATTATCCTGTTTGATTTGTACTAGGTGCCTCTGTGGATGTGTAGGCTTTGACTTTAACATAGCCATTTCTATGACCAGTCACAAGCTAATCACTCAGCTATTTCAATGCTAAATTATCCTGTTTGATGTGTACTAGGTGCCTCTGTGGATGTGTAGGCTTTGACTTTAACATAGCCATTTCTGTGACCAGTCACAAGCTAATCACTCAGCTATTTCAATGCTAAATTATCCTGTTTGATTTGTACTAGGTGCCTCTGTGGATGTGTAAGCTTTGACTTTAACATAGCTATTTCTATGACCAGTCACAAGCTAATCACTCAGCTATTTCAATGCTAAATTATCCTGTTTGATATGTAAACCCCTTTGTCAAGGTGCCTCACTTCTCTAAACCAGCTTAAAAGACGCTACAAATCTTAACAACGTTCATTGAAGCTCTGTCGTCCCGACAGGTCTGTTCCTTTCACCTGAAGAAGGCCACTTGTGTTGTGGCCGAAACGTCGTGAGAATTTTATTGTGTAATTTAATTTTATTAATTTATTATTTTATTATCATTCTACGTGACTTTACCGAAAGAACCAAAGAAAACGGCGAATGACTTCATACCCGCACTCTGTTCTCACAGGTATCACATTCTTCACTATCGTTGGCTCCGTAGATAAATTTGAACCATTAAAATGAGAAAATGGCGCCACTTTCAAGTGCAATATCGGCTCTGGGTTCATGGACTAACAGAGACACACAGAGAGAGAAAGACACAAACACACGGACAGGCACGCACAGGCACGCACAGACACACAGGCACAAAGAGAGAAAGACACACACACACAAAACAAACACACAAAGGCACACAGGCACAGAGAGAGAGAAAGAACCGCGTCAATAACAACAAGAATTCGCCACAAAGTGGCGGTGACGTCACCACGGCGCTTGTGCCACGCTAAGTGCGCACATAAACACACACAGAGATGCATAGCGAGACCGCATTGCGATTTGATGGCTGGAGGAGGGGCGGGGGTGTGGTGATTTCCCAGCAGTTCAAAAGGGCAGCTACTTCCTCCAACCCTTTGAGGCAAGCCTCTGCCTCTTGCCCCGTGACCTTTGGGCTGAAGGGACCCCCCCCCCACCACCTTCCCCCTCCAAGAAATTTTGCAGAAATTGCTCAGACACACCTGCAACAGACCTGATTCGAATCCAACGGCCGCCCCGATTAATACTGCGGCTGCAATAGACCGTTCAAAATACCGGGCGCCGTCCGCTTGACGGTGGACGCCAAAGATCCCGTGACGCCGATCGCAAGAGTCGGGCCGGCCGATGGCGCGTGCGAGCAAATGTGAGAACAACAAAAAATAAATACCACCTAAAGTAACCCAATCGGGAGTACACAGCAGCAACAACGAAAACGATCGCAGGACTCTCCTGGACAAAAAATAAATAAACTCGCTGTGGCTTCCCGTCTAACAACAACACAATAATAACAATAATAATAATAACAATAATAATAACATTTATAGGTTGGCAGATCGGATCGCCATTCTCTCCAACCCCCCCCCCCCCCACATTCACACCCGGCCTCTTGAGGATGCTAATGCGAGTGGGGAGCTGCGGCATTATTTGTCATTATGGGATTAAAAGAGTGATCTGTGATCGCGGGCCACCACAGGAGATAACGTGCGTTGTCCTTCCAGACCCGTGAGCACCGCTCATCCTCTGAACCTCCGAGCGGAGGCTGCGGTAAGCCTCCTCATTCCTGGGGACGCTGGTCGTGTGGGCGACTTGCGCGATGAGGATGTACGTGGAACTTCATTCGCACCGTACGTGGCCAGCCGTGCCAATCGCAGGTGCGGGACGGTGGGAGTGTGGCCCCCTGCCAGATTTCTCTCCCTCCTAGCCGGAACAGCGTGGGCCATGGTCTCTGGTGAGGTCTGGACTGGCTCAAGGCGCAGGTCTGCAACTGCTCGTTCGCGTCACCGCTGGAGGGAGCCCTGGAGAGCCACTCTACGCGGTGTTTGGCCTACTCTTCCACACTGGCAAGGCGTCTTGGGGAAGAGGGACCGGGAGCGCGAGTGCAGGAAGAGCGGCTGAGCGAGCCACACTCCTCAACTTCACCCGTTCCCCATCAACGAAGGGGCAGGGGGCGGAGGGTGGGGGCAGGGGGGGGGGGGGCGGGGGATGGGGGCAAGGGGGCGGAGGGGCGGGGCCATGGGGGGGGGGGCGCGTGGAAATGCCAACGCCAGCTGCAAGCAACTGGTGGAAGCACACACAGAGTGAGACACGTGCACAACAGCTGCCATATGCCAGAAAGTGACGTTGACGTTCACGTGGGACATGTGCCAGGCCAGGTGCACTGTGAGGCAATGCTCGCCGAGACAGTAGCCATACGGGTCACGGGCCCAGGTGCTGTTGGTTGACCGAGCGAGATGACCGGCAGATGCACCCACGGTGCCAGCAAGCTGGTGTTTTAGCCGCCCGGCGCCCTCTGCCCGTTGTTGTGAGCGGATACACGGGCGTAATACTAGGCGCGTTCAGTCGTAGACGGACACCCACACAGGGACACGTGACACTTACAGAGATGCACACTGGCACTGAGACAGACATCGAAACAGAGACACGCAGACAGACATGCACACACACACACTGAGAGATACACTGATTGGTTGGCTATTAATACATTTAATTGAATCGTTATCGGTTGGCCTGAAAATTGGCTGGCTGTTCTAATTGTCGGATAACTCGACGGATAATTAGGTGCTAGTGAATCGCTGGCTGGTTGTTTGGCGAGCTGATCGGCCGTTATTAATTGGCTGGAAGACAAATTATACCGCTTAGTGCTTAATTAGCTGATAAGGTGATTAGTATATAATTGCCTGAAATATCTGGTCATTGGCTGATGATCAATTTACTGTTTGGCTAGCTGGCTAATTGGTGAATTAGTAAGTTAGACTGGCTGACTGGCTGGCTGGCCAGGCTTGTTAATTGGCTTAATTGTTGGTGGTTGATTAATTGGACTGTAGACTGGCTAGCTGACTATTGGCTTTGTTGCTAGTGGTTAATTGGCTGGCAGATTAGCAAACTAGGTAGTAATTAATTGGATGGGACACTGGCTGGCTGATTGACCCGTGGTTAATTGGATGGTAGATCAACTAGCTGGCAGACTGATTGGCTAGATAATCATTGGGTGGCTGATTGGCTGGGTGATCAATTGGCTTGGGTGATCAATTGGCTGGGTGATCAATTGGCTGGGTGATCAATTGGCTGGGTGATCAATTGGCTGGCTGATTTGCAGGTGGCCTGATTGCCTGGCTATTGGCTCGCTAATTATCCTGGCAGATTGGCCCGGGTGATTAATTGGATGGCTGATTGGCTGGTTGGCTGACTGGCTCGCCGATTGCCCAGCTAAATTGGCTGGCAGATTGGCCCCCTGTAATTAATTGGATGGCTTATTGGCTGGCTGGGTGGTTGACTGGCAGATCGCTGGCTGACTGCTTTTACTGCATAATTGGCTGGCTGGCTGGCTGATCGGCCGGTTTGATTCATTGGCCAGCTGATTGGCCGGGTGATTGACTGGCAGATGGGCTGGTTGGTACACGGCTGGGTGAAAGTGCTCTATAATATTAATGACCGCACAGATCTCTCTTATCTCGCCTGCCAGATGCAGTTTGTGAGAGTGCACTCACTTCCGCACTCAGCGGGCTAGTGAAACAGCTGCCGATTGTCGGCGCTTTATGCACGCAAAGGCAAAGATACCCCGTGCAGCCTACTCGGGCTGTCGGGACAAGTACTGTTAGCGAGTGAGCGGCGTGGCCAGGACCACGCGCGCCTAAACTATGTCGTCCCAGTGCAAGTGTTTACACACCCGCACCAGGT